CCCCAAAACCCCAAAACCCCAAAACCCCAAAACCCCAAAACCCCAACATTCAATTTTTTATTTGAAATTTATAAAAATATTTGAAATGAACCCAGAAGTTGAGATTAAGGAAAATCCTGATATTGCTTATATCAAGAGAGATGACATTGGACTTGTTATTGCAAAGGGATTAGCAAAGACTTATAAAGCACAACCTCAAGACCCAGTCGATTTCCTAGCTAAGTGGCTTCTTAACCATTCCAATGTTGCTAATGAACAGGATAAGCAGCAGGAATCTAAAGCGAAGACTCAAGAACTTAAGGACAGGAAGAGCTTAGAAGAGCAGAATAAGGCAAAAGAAAAGGAGGAAGAACTCAAGAAAGAAAAAGAGAACAGAGTCAAAATTGAAGATTTTAAAGATAGAGTTGAACATTCAGAAGATCTTTCAGATCACTTACAAGGCTTTACGAGCTACTTACAGGAGCACACAGGTGCTACTGGTGTCTATATTGGAAAACTTATTAAGCCTTTTAAAAAGATCACTGATGATGATAATGATACTGCCCATGAAGATCCTGAAGCTCCGGAAATTATTAAATATATCCATGCAACTCCAGATCATGACTTCTTGATTGATAAAACTCTGAACCCAGACCAAGGCCTTACACATGAGATATTCAAGCCTGAAGAGCCAAAGGAGGATGAAGCTCCTCCAGAAGGAGAAGGTGAAGGAGACAAAGAAAAGAAAGAAGAGAAGAAGGTCCCTAAGCATTCCTTTATAGAAGAGGTTGTCAGAGAACACAAAATGCATTACTTTAGAGTCCCAAGATTGGGCTCCTACCTTGCAGTAGAGCTGAAATACGACTCTTGCTTAAACCAAGAGTCCTTTGACAAAGCATTTGAGGATTATCTCGACTGTATCAATAAGAAGCAGGAACAGGAAAGAGAGAAACTAGAATATCAAGAAAAACTTGAGGATGAGAAAGCCAATGCTGGAGATGACTGGCAAGAGCCTGAGCCTAAAGAATGGCCAGAGATCAAAGAAAAACTATATGAGACAAGCGAGCATAAATATGTTGTTTGTCTTGACACATTAGGGCAGGATAGACCTTTCACTGAGGAAGAGAAAGAATTTGTACTTGAAAACATTCAGTACTATAGTGATAACTGGACTAAGATTGAGAACAGTGGTCTAAAGAAGGACATTGAAGAGAGATACAAAACCTTCCAAAAGGATAAGGATTATATCGAAGGAGAGAATGCCAACAATCTTGCAGCTGAAGAAGAGAAGTTCATTGAAGATTACTTCGATGGTCTTGATGAACAGCTTGAAGGAGATGCTAGGGCTGAGAAAACACCAGAAGTTAGACAAAAGTTTTTGCTAGAGAAATTGTGCTCTGAAGAATGGAAGAAAGAGCTACTCAAATTCAGAGAGTATCAGGTTATTCGTTTCCCAAGATTCATGCAGAGTTTACTCTACTTCCTTGGACATACCAGAGAAGAAATCTGAGAAGAGGGTACTAATAAACTATTCTGGAAGATAGCAAAGAATAAGCTGAATGATGGAATCTTTGAAAACATGAAGAAATATACTCATGTTGGTCCCAAAGATGCAGAGTTCAAGCGTTACCAGCTGATTAACTTCATTGAGAAGAACATAGATGGCATCACTATTGAAGATATTGAACAGTACTCATATGTTCTCTCTAGGCTCTTTAAATGGCTCACAACCAGCATTGATATGAGAAAGGATGATATCATCAAAAGAAAGGAAATCAAAGAGAAAGAAAAGGAAGAAAGAGAACAAGCCATTGCTGATCATAAAGAGTGGCAAGAAAATAGAGAGAAAGCTATGGAGGAGGCTAAAAAGGAATTTGAAGACAAACTTGCTGAAGAAGAAGCCAATAAGACTCAAGAAGCTCAGGAAGAGAACAAGGATGATGACAACCAAGATGAGAAACCACCAGAGGAAAAACCTGTTTTTGATGAAAAGAAGTTCTTTGAGACTTATGATGCTGAAACTCCAGAGGTCAAGATCCCTGAAGTCGTCGTTGATGATATTGATAATGACTATGAGGTTCCTGCTTCGGAAGAATAATTCGTTCTAGGAATCATTCAACTTGAATAAGGCTTTTGGGGTTTTGGGGTTTTGGGGTTTTGGGGTTTTGGGGTTTTGGGG